GAGAGCATATGTGAAAGCCTTTTAAGTTTTAACAAAAAAAAAAGAGATAGCATATGTTTATTAGCGAGTCAGTAATTAAGCATTGTGTTTATTACAGAAGCTTGTTTATTTTCTTGATGTTGTGTCTTTTCTTTGTTGAAGTAAGCATTGTGTTTGATATAATTTTAGTTTAGTTTTTCTGTGTTTAAGAGTAAATTAAATGGGGAGATATGAAAAAAACGAATTCACTTTGTAAAAATAGCTTTATCAGCTATGAATCGAAATATCGACCTAGATGACCAAACAAAAAAAAAAAAATACTATTTTAATTCTTGTATAGTACTATGCTTACAAATGTCGAGTTTGTTAGATATTCAAAGGTATTGACATAGTTGTGTGCAAAGATAGATGCTAAATCTCCATTTGAAGGAACAAACATAAATGGTCTTCAGTTAGTTCATGCTAAACTCTAAGGACTCGTACTTTTTTGCCATATTCGCTGTGAAATGCAGCTATGTCCTTTTACAATACACAAATCTTGAAGCTTTTGCTTTCCTTATACATTCCAACATTGGCCATAGAGATCAACCTGACAGTTTATAACACGAGCGAATAGTATTGTTCCTTATAAGGTTGCTTTCTTTTTCTCCTGGTAGTTGGTACATGGACATACAATTTTTCGTTCGAACTCACTTTTACGTCGTTGTGTAGTTTTGGACCAGCGGAAAGTTAAATTTCTGCTCTCTCTTCATCATATTATATTATTATGTCTAATCCGAGCTGCTTATTAGATTGACTGTCTACGAGACGTCTAAACGGTGGTGCACTTAGCCACTTACATTGAACATGAACATCTCCACATCCTCAAGAAGATCTGAAATTTAGTTTTCGTATGAAGGGAATTCAATTCGCAAATTTAAAGAAACTATAAAGGGAAGCAAAATCGGTTTTACGGTCTCCCTCATGAAATAGGTATAATATGTAAGTTATGTACATACGCATATTTCACGTGTTTGCTATTTACCTCCAACCTTACAAGCGGCTTGTCTCGAACAAATACTAATACTATGTTAAATGTAACAGAGTTTTTTTTTAAATACAGTATATATGTTACTATAATTGTTAAAATTACAGATCATTCTACTCAGAAAAAATTACAAACAAATAATCAACATAGAGAAAATTCTTACGATTACGATTTTCCTTGTCTCTTCACATAGAGAAGTGCCCTCCAAATCAAACACCTATTGGCTTTGCATAACACCAGAGAGATTATGTTGATCTTATATCCACACCTCCTAATCATGCGTGTGATATACTTTTTATTTTCATCGCTAGTGCTGCCGAAGATAGCCAACCAGAACATTCCTCGAGCTTTCAAATTCCGTTCAAGATTGAACAGCATGAACTCTAGCTTCTGGAGTTTATTATACTAAACATCTAGTCCAATCAAAGCATGGATAAGATAGAACACATTGTCCTTGAAAGAAAACCTATGATAAATATATCTCCATTCATCAGGTTATCATATATGAAGTTAATTATCTGTTACCTGCGAAAACATTACAATTGAGCTACATTACCACTGCCTAATTCTTTAGTGATGAAGAAACATGATGAAAGTACCAGGACTTGTGGATTAATTTGCATTGCAGCAATGGAAGAAAATAAGAAACAGAGTCATTATGTGCATGTCTCAGCGGAGGGGTTACTCTGTGGTGTGATCCAAGAGACTCACTACGTTATGATATTAAGAAAACCAAAGAAGACAGCCAAACCCTATTTATGTCTCCAGCCCTGTTCTTAATTGTATCCGATTTTTAAGGTCTGAAATCCATCCTTGAACCTCGCACATTATCTGGATCTTGCTTTTAGAAATAGACCAGCAGAGAGCGAGATACCAAATCTACTAAATACAAATGCAAACACACACATATGTTAGAATTTGTTTTAGTCACTACAGTTTCCGGCAACAATCTTAAAAATGAGATAGGTGATCTACAAAGTTATCTCAGAGACTGTACAAAGTTCTTACTTAACTTAAAATGCCACTTTCATTCAGACTCTCAAACTAAATAATATGGACCAAGTACAGATTTTCGAAGCAAAGGTGATGCATGTGAATCAGAAGAAAGTTAATATAAGGAACATCTTCAATACGAATTTACAAGATTGAGAAAATTTTCTTTTAGTGAAGAACACATACATTAACATAAGCCTATAGCTGTTAGTAGCTTGTTGTGCGTTTCTTACGTGTGGCAACCTGATAAGCCTACCACAGATTTGATTAACAGAAAATCACCTAAAACTGAATTTAAAAAGGCTCAAACACCATCAACTTCAAACGCATCGATATGTAACATGAACTCACAAACTTTTGAGAGTTTTTGCGAAAAGTATTTATGCCTTTGTTAAATATGAACCGAAGGAATACATAATCAATTTGGATAATAAGGGGAAAGAGAGAAAGGGCTTACATGGAAAGAGAAGACCGATTTCGCAGATGGTTAGCATAAACGGTGGTGGTATCTTCTCAAACTCTACACCTCCAACGAGGTAGCAGTGGAGACAAGAAGAGTCCATCACTGACATAGATTCCAGCAAATCACACACATAGATTCCTGCAAATCTTAGACACAAGATATGGTACAAGACAACAAAAAAGATCCCTAAAACTTCTTGTTATATCTCGTAACAAGCTTAAATATATACCAAATCCATACTTGTTCCCAAACGATCGGAAGGGAAGGTTGAAAAATACTGCCGAGAACTATAAAGCATGGGAAACAGTGGCCAAATGAAGCCATAACTTGAAACGTATTCCTCTTAATACACTATAAGAAGAATGACATTTGCAACAATGGTAAAAGCAGTTTGCGTTATTCACATTGTTATATTGAGGAATATTCACCTACATATTTCTGGAAGGGATCTCATGATATACAAAGCTTGGAGATAATTAGAATTTTCGATCAGACACGAAAACAGCTTGTGATTTCAGGCTTCTCAGCTCAGCAGCCGCCAAATCAGACTTCCTCACTCTCTGAAACACATAAAATGATAAAGATGAAGTTAATAGCAATGGTGTCATTCAAGTGCTTATTGATTTTTGTTTTCACCTCTTGCTGCTTCTCTTCCAATTTCGCTGCACCACCGCGCAATTATAAAGCACCTTAACAGAAAAAAAAAATTTAAAAGACTCGTCGCTGCACCAATCTCTCTCTCATACTCCACATACCTAGGCCATATCACACAGCCGTTGGTACACCTCGAATTATGAACTACGCTACAGCCTTTCTTGCTCCGTTCGTTCGACTCTACAATCGCACACAAATGATAAACTTCTGAATACAAATGCATATCGAACCGCACGCTTTACATTCATGCGGAATCAAATTGGCGATGCTACCTTGCATGTATTGATGCCATTTTCCGTGATTTCGAGGAGAAAGTCGCATTCGTTGAATTTAATTACTACGAGGAATTTAAAAGCCAGAGTTCTCAAAATCAAAATTCAATGTGAGATTATATAACAAATCTTCACATATTTCATGAGAATGGTTCAATAATGGCGGATTCGGTACTTTTCTCTCAAAACAACCAACATTCTTCGTCATATTTCTTGATATAGACAAAAATCCAAACTGCACTGTTTCTGTCGAGTACAGTGCATATCCTCTGACATACATGACCAATGAAGATGATGATACATGGGACGAGTATTCAGATTCAAAGAACATTGTGTCAAAGAAGAAGAAGAAAATATGGATCATGGGCAAAGGTAATCAGGTAAGGATGACTGACAATCAACTAAAACTAATGATGCATAAAACATTCAATCGAGCTATTTTGAAGACATGGATCACAAAATTTAGACTAGTTCATTTCCATGAGCCTCATCTAACTAAACTAATTTTCCAGTTCAGCTGATAAAGAATCTTAGCAAAAGTCCAATAAGTCAACAAATCACCTTAATCATCAAGTGTTAATTGGAACATGTTTAAAGTTGGTATAAACATTATAACAAATACATTCCGGGCATGAAATATACATTTCCTAGATACTGGTTTTTCGAAATAATGTTTTCTCAATACGAAGTCCAATATTGAATACACATGTTGATTTCCAAACAAGCTTATGTCCCTTTGAAATGGCCATCTGAGAATAAACCAAAACGCA